ACATGGCGTTACCAAACGGCCAGCTGAAATCCAACGCTGTATCTACTGCCCAGAAAGGCAAGGTCAGAACAAACTGAAAGTCGGTGACAGCTAAATTGATGACAAAGAAATTAATGATGGATTTTTTTCGACCTTGTCTTATCTTCATAAGGAAAAACACCAAAAGATTTCCGACCAAACCCACGGCGCACACCGCGGAATAAACCACCGAGGTAATAATCCGTAGGACGAGGCTGCCGTCAGCAGTCACATCGATGTCTTCCAGACTGCTGAACTTGAGTTGATCCGTTAAACTTCTGTTCAAAATTCCCCATCCGCTTTGGTTGAGAATGCCACCCATTGTTTCCGAAAGAAACTCTCCAACAGGTACCTGGTGGACAAGGCTTTCTACTGATCGCATATCAGTTAGTCTTACATTGTTCCACACAGAACAAAAGCGGTTTTAGATAGCAGTGGGTTCCCATAGGTATAAGTGATGTGTTTTGAACACACAGTGCACCCGACAGCCAACGTTTTATGCAGAAGCGCGCGGGGAGCACCTGTCTGTAAAGCGCGCGCACTGGAGAAAGCCGATGACTGACTTACAGCCGTACTCTTGACGTCATGTAATGCTAACGCATCTGAACAAATTTGAGGGAGGATGACGAAATAACACAAGATTCTAAAACAGACCTCTTACTTAATTATTAAATAAAAGTCGAAAAATAAAGGCTAAGCAAACGGATAACACATGTAAAAGCACTTATATAGGCTAGTGCATTTCAAGAGGTTATTAGTCATTTATTAGTCATAGTTAATTCAATGTCAAATGGTTTAACATTTAATTCTAGTATAATTGTCTATTATGTTCATGTATTTATGTTTATCTTTTCAGTTCCAGTTGATAGCTCATATTACTCCTAGAGTCAATAAAGTCTTATCATATGTCATCTTAAGCTTCTACAATTTACAATGCTAGATGGGAATGACTTCGTAAGTTGACATAAAATATGTTTCATACTACTGTGTCCACTAGATGGGGCACTTGATGGACACTCTTAAACATCAGCAGCTCAGTTTGTTACTCCCTTAAAAATCAGCTAGCATTTTCAGATTTTCAATTTTCAGCCTTTCAAGCCAGGAAGGAATATCAGTATAGAGAATTTACTGACTTGCACACACGTTCATTAGTCCAACACAACAATGGACAATATTAGGTGTTAAAGGGATAATTAACACCAAAATGAAAACTCTATCATCATTTACCTTCATGTTGTTTCAATCTTGAATGACTTTCTTCTGCGGAACAAAAAAAATGTTCCTTTCTTTGTCCAAGTGGAAATAAACAAGTAATAATCATAATTAAAAGACGATAATGATGTTGATGATGCACCTTGGCTTGAAGTTAAAGGACAGGCATAGACCTATATGCCAAATATCATGAATGAATTCCATTATAGAACAACTGGTGATTATTGTGATTATTTTTAATGGCATCAACATGGACACATCATTGTGCGTTCTTGCATTCAAAAACAGCTACCCGAAACTAAAAGGAACTAAACTGAATTCAGATCGAGTTTTATAGCTGCAATGACAAATGAAAAAAAAACAACGCTCATGACGCGAGACGCGACGACCGAAGACGCGACAGCCAAAGACGACCGCCTAATGTGTTCATAAACCAAAATATAAAATTAGACAGACTGAACTCAAGAACGCGTCCTGTGTTTGTGTTCCTTTACAAATGGTTAAACAGTATTGTTTAAATTATGGGAGTCATTTTATTATAGACACGTTACAGAATGGGTTCAGTCTGACACATTGAACACAAAGAGAGGGTCCTCCTACTAGAGGATTGAGAGGGCGGAACTTTTACAAAGTTTTGCTGAAACACAGTTCGCTGCTCATCTGTAAGTGCAGTCGTCCCAGTTCAATTAACGGAGCCCAAAATCGCCCATGCACCGGATTCACAGACTTTATCATGCTACATCATTTGTCTCGGATTGATGAGCATTGCAGATCTCTGGCTTAATAAATGCAGTACCGTTCTTTTGTGTGATGGGTCCAAACTACCGATGCATAAGGCTGAGGCAGAAGTTACTATTCAAACTATCTCCATTTAAATGGACTGTAGATGTACCAGGAGTGATCTGTCTTCTCCTCTGTGCAGTTTGACATGATGGTTCAGCTGGACTGCGGCATTAAAGTTTTGGGGCCAGCAAGTTTCTCTCTCTGCTTTGTGATAACAGCTGGACTTCTGTTCACATTCGAGAGCACAACAGTTAGCGGATATAATCACGACACAGGTGAGTGAGTTGAGCTTGTGTCTAATTATAGTCCCACGCTGTGATTTTTAGCATTTTTTTTTTGCCTCTTTGTCAGTTGATGTGCGCGTGTGCGCACAATGGAGTTTGTGCGTAACAGTGGCCTAAAAAGTATTTTTGGCCACTTATTTATAGAAATGTAGCCCAAGCACACATAGCAAGCAAAATATTTCATAAAGAGAATTTTGCTTGCCTTCTGATTTTAAAACGGCATATTCTGTTTATTAAGACAAAAGGTATTTTGACACTGTGGTTGTTAAACATTAAGCGGAGTGAAACATGCGCATAGTTAACGTGATGAAATACACCTTTATTCTCTTGAGGACTTGTGGGAAACTGACTTCATACAGCCACTAAAAATCACTGCAAAATCGGTAATTTCCAAAATGGCTCAGAAAAGTGAATTAGTTCTGGAAAAAGCCCTAATAAAATATCTACAGATGCCACTTGTCATATTTTGTCATCGAATGCTTTGGCATTCATGCATTTTTAAGTGCACAAATACTTTGGGGATCATTACCACTGTCAACCTGCAATAAGTGGAAGTGAAATATTTGGCCCAGTTTATGACTTTAAACTCTTAGCAAATACTATTCTAGCTCTGTCCTGTTCCCATGTTTCTTTCTGAGCTGTTTATTTAGGCTATGATTTGTGATAGCAAATGGTATTGTTTCATTTTTCTACTGGCACGCTATAAACTATGAATTCATCTTTCTTGATTAGGTTATTTTGGGTTACAGTTCACATTGCAGTATCCATTGCTGCTGTGTGAAGCTACTGGATAATAATAATAAACAACAATAAAACTTTAGAACTGCCTGTAATAAATAGTTTCAGTGTAATTTATAGAGCTGTTGTGAATAAATATATTAAAGTGTAAGGTAAAAAGGATTCTGCAATGTGAATTGTTTCTATTAGCATCACATCACTTTCATTTGGCATTTGTGTGCTTTTGACTTATGTTTGCACTGATGGCGTATACATCCCCCACTCCATATTCCGTTTCTTGGCCGACACTACCCCTAATGCTGTTTCCCTCTGCTTCCACAATCATGTAGGTCAAAGCAACAGGGCTGCCAATGAACAGACTGAAGTCATATAGCAAAGGCTGTTCACATGTTTATACTATAGAGTCTCTAGGGAAATATTTGAATAAGGAGAATGCAGACTTGAGAAGTTATTTTAGTTTTTACTCTACCACATTATTACTATAAATCTCTCTGTAAGTTTATTATTCTGGTCTGTTGTTTGAATAGAATGACGGACTTCAGCTTCAGTTATTATGATAATTCATGGATTTGTTTCATGAATTATTCAATGTACGATTCAATTGCTTTGCAAGTCATAGGAATTTAAATGATTTGCTTATTAAAACCTATGCAAGCACAAAATAAAGAGCAGAAAAGTTACAGTGTTCCAGTTGCAAAATTGCAGTCATACTGTTACACAATTCCAAAAAAATCAGTGCATTTAGTATAATCTTTCGGAACTTTGCAGACTCTTGTTTTAAAGTTTGAAGTCTGATAAACTGTCTGTGTTGTTTGGTCATATCTGTAGTGCATTGTAAGATAATAGTAAAGAGTAAATCATGTAAAACTTGATCATTTAGTTGTTTGTAAAATTAATTCTATATACGTAAGACACATACATAGATTTTGACATTTTCTGGGGGAAAAAAAGTGATTATCAATGTAAACCTACGCACACTGTGCAGTTCCAGGGCAGAGTGGTTACCAGAGTGTTGCTTTCTGGTTTATAAAATGTTTAGAGTGGTTGTTAGCTAGTATGCTAAGTTGCTAACATGATCTTCGTAGTTTATGTTTACTTACTAGATTAAGCCAAAGGAACCCATCCATCTCTGTGATATTTTAGGGCTGATACACCAGCTGTAAGCCTAGTTGTAAATGGGCACTAAGTTTATGCACTACTAAATATTTGAGCATTTGCACAATTAAATTAGTTGTATTACTAAATATTTACAGAAGCCTCCAGACAGCAGTAATGGCTGGAATAATGAGCTTGTGTCTTGGCTGATAGATATTAATACTTAAATTAATTTACATTTGAGAGAATATTATGTGAAAAGCTGATTTGTTTGGGGCGCTGTCAGACTCTGGGCCAGGTTTTGTGTGTGTCTTGGCATTATGGATAGAGGACTCGCATTTTAGCTTGAAGTAATGATTAAAAATGTTAAAAATGTCTTAATGATGTTTCTTACAAACTCGTAGCTTTTCTCTTCACAAGATGTTAACTGATGGACTGGAGTGGTGTGGATTACTTGTGGATGGTTGTGATGTTTTTATCAGCTGTTTGGACTCTCGTTCTGACGGCACCCATTCACTGCAGAGCATCCATTGGTGAGCAAGTCATGTAATATTTCTCCAAATCTGTTCTGATTAAGAAACAAACTCTTCTACATTTTGAATGGCCTGATGGCTTTAATCAAATTTTCACTTTTGCGTTTGTTGCTCTGCAGAGGCTTTCCCGTCCCTGACAGGTGCTTGTTGAGCAATAATCAGATCAGATGAAGATTTTATTAGCTCAGAGAGCGTGCCAGCTTGGCATATACCCTGCATATTATACAAATGATATAAGATTACACAAGCTGCTACATAAGGGGTTTATGGTGACATGCTTTAATTAGGCAAGTAAAACTAATAAGTTTTCAAAGCACACAGCGGTTTTTAAGATAATATGACTGTGAGTAACTGATGTTGTAGAACAAAACATGAACGTTAAGTGAACCACTGACACTAATTAGTCTAAAACCACACAAAAAAAATCAAAACCATCCAAATTTCCTGAGGGGGCTCATGTCAAATTAGCATGAAGGACTATGAATTAATGAGTGAACAGCTTTATTGTGCTTGTAAACTCTCATTTTCTCACATGGAGTAAGCGCGTTAAACTTGTGTTGAATGTAATTCTTTGGTAAATATGATTTATATAAATATATTTCTGATCTTATTTCTACTCATGTCTTATTTCAGGTTTATTTGGCTGTAGCTGATTATTGTCAGACTCTGGGCCAGGTTTTGTGTGTGTCTTGGCTCCCTATGTGCTCCGTCATCAAGTTTCTCTGTCTCGTGTTTTGAGTTCATTGTTCCCAGGTGTTTTTAAACCCTTGTGAGTTACTTTATGCCGTGCCTCCTCGCTCCTTCGTTCCCGTGTTCCTCGTGTGTGTGAACCGTGACAAGCGCTTCATCATAATACCAATTTAAACAATGCACTTTCCTGTGTATGTCATTTGTGCATGCAGGGTTTAAAAAACAACTAAAAACCATGGAAATAAATGTACATTTTCCAGGTTGTTGTATTAGTATTTATTTACTGCTTTTATTAATTTGATATACTATTCTTAAAGATTTATTATTTACTATTTACTAATTTCATTATTATTACTTACCATTGACAATTTTGTTAGAGAAAATAAGGCTGCTTGTTAGATCAATATACGTCATATTAAAGGGGTCTTTCAAAGGAGAGAGACAGTAAAAAACCAAGAGAGCCTGGCCCAGGTTTTTTACCATCTGCAGTATGGTGGTCAAGACCTGCACTTTAACCTCACCCTAAACCCTCATCTACTAGCGCCTGGATTCCTCACAGAGTGGAGATACGGTGGTCTGCAAGGCTCTTCATTACATAGCCATGGCCACTCTCTCTGCTACTTCCTGGGAGATGTCTGGAGCAGTACACTGAAGTGGGGTCAAGCAGCTCTGAGCACTTGCAATGGCCTGGTGAGTTTGTATTTTGTTCCCATGTAGATATGGAAATATTTTATCAAATATTATCAAATAATATATTATTTAATAATAGTTCTTGACACTGAACAACATCCTTGTCTATTTATTTATACTGTAATTTACCATGTATTTAAGGGGAAGGAAGGAATTTGCTTGAATTCACAGAGCCTGTGGCATTCTTGTTTTTTGGTGGACTCCCAATGAGTAATCTATAGGCTACCGTAGAGGACCTTAGTGACCCCTTCATAACAGGGCCTGGGCAACATTCCCAGAAATCTCCTATGACAACAGACTTGGGAATAGGTTAGAGGTTAGAGTAAGGGTTAAGGCTATCATTGTTTGGAAGAAACATTGTTTCAGGCCAAACAAAGGATGTTGATACAGGTGATCCATGTAATCCAGAAAAATGTCCTACTTGGGTAAATCGCATCATGTCACTTACACAAACAGCTGACCCTGTCTTTTTTACATAAATAGAGAGCTAACTGATTTAGGGTCATTGGCATAACACTTGTTTTCTGTCATGGTCAATTTATTTATTTTAAAATACATAAATTCATTTCTTGTATAATAAGTATGTAATTTCTGGATTAAATGAATAAATTATGATGGAGAGGTGGGTTTGATTTTGACATTATTGAGGACATAGTAAACCCCGACCACACCTTGATATATGTTTTACCAGTATTTCATGTAATCTAAAAAGCCTTTACTTACAAATAAATAGCCAAAACACTCACAAAGGGAGTTTATGTCAGTATGTTCCTCAGACAATAATTGCACATTATTAGAATTCAGTTCTGTACTTCATGATATTTGCTCATAAAGATACTATACATCACTTAAATTTAAATTTAAAAATGATTCGCTTCCGTGACAAACACAACTTTCACATGCATCTGATTAACAGATGAACAACACGCTGTTATTTTGCTATTGTTCATTTTGTGGATATTTCAGCGAACAGTTTGCGTTATACAATTAGTTTAACAGCATTGATTTAAAAATGGTAAACTTTATTCAGCTGAACTGTGCACATGCAGTTTAAACATTTATGTTATATTCTTGCTCTGTTCATGCAATAAATCAACATCCTGTAATAAGAAGGGTTTTCCAGCGTACAGTATTTACTTTAACTTCTCAGGTGCCGCCAAGTCTTATTAACCTTATATCAAGACTTATTTAGGGGGGTCGATAGCAGGGAATCAGATCTGGGCCAGGGCACTCTTGTAACAGAGATTGTTAATCATATTGAAACAGTCCTGGTTAAATAAAGGTTAAATAAAAAAAAAACACAAGCCACTGACGGACAACAGTCTATATAAGAATATATTTTAATTGTCTTATCAAAATTATTGCAAGGGACAATTCAGTAGTCTCTGGATATTGATGGGACATGCTCCCCTTCTAAATTCTACGGCCCTGAGGGGTGGGAGGGTGGCTGTTGCAGAAAGTAAAAAAATGTCAAGGTGATGCAACATTCCTGATTATGAAGGTATTTATGATATGAATAATGGTATTTATGAATTAATAATTCATTATGTTTTTTAAAAATACATTTTTCCATGAAATTTTTATTTAAAAACCTTATTAAAAATAATTTTAAAATATTTTTTTGTAATTGATCACTGACCCTTTGACAGCAAATAATACACAATGTTTTACATTAAAGTTGTACCTTTCTGAATAAAAATCTGTTTAATATTTAGGTGTTAAAACATACACTGCAGTGAAATGAGACAGTGAATGTGGATTGCATGGGTATAAGCTGTTTAATTTTATGTCACGTTACTTTGACCTTGTATTCTCTCTAGACAGGGCTGTTCAAGCTCTCAGAAGAGGAATTCTTCATTAGTCCGCTGGAGTCGGCACAAGAAGAGTTGGCCCCTCGTGCTCACGCAATCTATAAGCGACATGCTGTTCAATCAGAACACCAGCTGGTGCAGCCTCTGTTTGGGGAGCACACAGCTAACGCAACCTGTGGGGTCAGAGGTAAGACTTTTGGGGCGTAGGACTCAATGGGGCTAAATAATTTATGAACAGATGTCTTTCATGATTAAAGCACATCATTCACTTATGATCCAAGGTCATTTTTAATCATCTTTAGATCCTTTAGAAGGGGCAAAGCAGGTGGAGAGGCAAAGAGAGCGCTGGGAGAGACGGCAACATCGCAGACGGATTAGACAGCGCTCCATAAGCACTGAGAAGTGGGTAGAGACTCTGGTTGTGGCTGATCCTAAAATGGTGGAGTACCATGGGAGCAAAGGAGTTGTGAGCTATGTGCTCTCTGTCATGAATATTGTGAGTAACAGTCCTATCTTTAAACAATACATGTTGTTTTCCAAGGCAAGCAGCACTATTACTGTTGCTCGTACAATTACTAAAACCTTAAAGAGATCACTGTCCTGTCATGATTTACTTACCCTCTTGTCATTCCAAACCTATGTCTATTTTGAAAAATGTCTCAGCATTTTTTGTTCATAGGCTGAAAGTCAGTGTGGTTCAGTGTTGTTTTGGAACCCACCGACATTCACTATATGAACAAAAACAATAAACAAAAGCAAAACTGCTTATTTTAAGTTTCACAAATAATTAGGGTGATTCAATTAATTAAAATCTTTTGGAAGAACTGTCCCTTTAACACTTAAATGTGTTTAAGACTAAAACTATGGAAACCTGTTTCCGCCACAAAATTTAAAAAAAAGGTAATTGCACATTTTTATCTCACAATTTGGACTTTGCTTTTGTCAGAATTATGAGATATAAACTCAGAACTGTGAGAAAAAAGTCAGAATTCTGAGTTTACATCTCGCAATTTTTTAAATGCCATAAAATAAAAAACGTTATTGCAACTTTTTTATCTCACAATTTGGACTTTTCTCACAATTTTGAGAAAAAAAAATCAGGATTGCAATTTGCAACATATATACTCCTAACTACTAGATAACTTTAGACTTGCGAGAAAAATGTCAGAATTCTGGTTTACATCTCGTAATTCTGTTTTTTTTTGGGGGGGTTTTTCACCATGGAACAAAAAATTTTATTGCAACTTTTTATCTCACAATTCTGAATTTGTAAATTCAGGAATTATTTATTTTTTGATTATTTATTTGAGGAATTATTTATTGTTTTATTACCAAGTTCTTTAGCACAGATGAATATGATGGTTTGCACAGTTTTTTTTTATGTACTTGTCAATAATAGTTTTTTGTTGATTTTTAACCAAAAAAAAACCTTCTATACTGCAACTTCTGCATATATCTCATCCTGTGACACTTTGTGCTATGGTGTTCTATTATATTTCAAAGTGAACTGATTTATGAATTTCATTTGGAGAATGACTAGGTAGATGAAAATTGTCAATCGTCTTCCCTCTTAGTCTCCACCTTGTCAGGAACACCCGAAGAAAGAATTCCAAAAGTTTTCAAATCTGCATTTTTCTTTTTTCATTCTTAACTCTGATGTGTTGTTTCAAACTATCCTCATTTCATCTCTTCAGCTTTCACCTCACTGACTCTTTTCTTCTCAAATAGCTACAGTGTGCCTTCAGGCAGCACTCATTCTGCTAGTTGCTCCTGAGCTGGATCCAAGTCAGCTGACCGTTTTACCGATTCAGTCTGTTAGGTACATTTTCCAAAATATGCTTTGTCTGGCTTCTGTTTTTGAGGAGGGAAAAGTCTTCAGGGAAAAACGTTTTCCATTCCAGACACTTTGTTGGTATTGAAGTATATTCTGTAAAGGGGAAACATTCCATTATCCTCAGTTTCCTGCCAGGCAGCTTCTCTTGTAGGTCTATCCTGCTACTTACAACATGAGTTGGCAGGAGTGTAGGTCTGGTTATACAGACTGCAGTGTTTTACTTGTTTTTATGTATTGTTGAGCAGGCTAAAGAGGGCAATAAACCAATTCAGAACCAATTTTCAAAGTGAGGAAAACAGCTACAGTAAGTAAAAGAGGCAGTTGTATAAATGATTTAGACACAAAGCCTGTTTAACTATGTTTAGCTCTGTTCCACATTTTAGTAAGCTACCTTGCTGTCTACTGCTGACATAGGAAGGAACATTCTAAAAATGCGGTCACATTTACCATTGCTCTGCACATTTTCTTGGGTGAAATCTAGTCATTTCAATTTATGTGAATGGATATTTCATGTGGGGGCGAAACATTTCTCTTCAGAGATTAAAGCTAATCACATGGATTTTAATCTTTATTTATTTTTTTATTTTTTTATTTTTTTATTATCTTGGGAAAAATTGGTAGAAAGTGGTCCAACATGTTAATTTGAAGTGATTTTTCAAAAAAAAAAACTGAAAAAAAAAAAAAAAAAAATAGGCAATGACAGTGTACTCCATTCATTTACTTTAAATACTACAGCATAGCCTCTTGTTTGCAGTTAAAGAATCAGTAGAGAGGACGAATTATTGGGGCTTCAGGCACCATTGAGCATCTGAAATCCTCTCTCCAGCAAACATACTGCGCCACTGCTGATATGTGTTCACAGTGCCTTTTTTTTTTTTACCAAATATTTAATTACAGTGACAATTACAGAATTACAACTAGAGGTTTACATTTTCTGAGCATAATAGGATTTGTTAGGCAATTCCCAAGATGTTCTGAATGGTTGTTATTACACTGCTATGCAATTGCTTGGGTGTTCTGGTGGTTGGCAAGCAATTCCTAATTGGGTGCTAGGGTGTTCTGGGTGGTTACTACATGGTTGCTTACTGGTCCAAGTCGAAAGGGCCCACCCCCAAGTCTCTGTGATATTCTGGTCTCTAGATATGGCTTGGGTCTCTTATTACATGTAAATCCTAAAATGTTAATGTATTTTATCTGTCATGCAAAAATTGCTAACCAGATTGCTTAAAAAAGTAAAAGCACACCTCTGCTTAACAAGCCACATAATATTAGATTTCATTCATGTCTGTAGCTCAGCAAGGATGAGTTATGCCCAGAAATTCACTAATTAATTGCAGTGGCTAATGATCACAAGTTTTTTATTCGTTTGCTTGCCATCTCTAACCTTGCTAAATATATTTGCCAACATTTTCCATGTAAGGTTGATCACTACAGGGAACTGTAACATTAGTACCTGCAACCTGAAAAATCAAGGCATTATAATAAAGTTAACCAGACATTGAGTGTGCCATAGACTCATCAAAGATCAGATTAATTTCAGCAGAAGTTGCTTCACCTCAAAAAGACAGAACGGCTTCAAAGGTGCCTCATTAATTCACTGGAACAATTTGTAATGAGCACCACAGAAGCATAGAAAATGCCTCATCACATTTCAGACCACATTTACCTCAATGAGAGCTTTGATATGAGAGCAGAACTTGTAAGCATCTCACCAACAGAAAACTCCTTAGTTCAATATCAGTATGTCAGTCATATCAAGTGTTCTTGGGTTCTTTCTGTGACTTATTTTGGTTACTGCTCTGCATAGGAATTCCTAGACCCTATTTTAGGGGGGCTTCAGTTCCCTTGTCTTTCATCTAAGCTCCTGTAAAGATCTGCGATTAACAGCCGAGTAAAAAACAGCTGAAAACAGCGGCTGCAGTAAGCTATCTGAGGTTACTTCACTCGAAATCCTCCCCATACCACTCATTAAAAACGCTACAACATTAAGTATTATCATTCCCTCTAGTCAGTGGCCAGATCATAGGCAACATAAGGCTCCGCACACAGCTGTCACAGATACACGATCCATTTCTAGAGCTTTCATCCAAATGCTCTCCATTCCAGGGGACTCAAAACAAACTACCATTACTGGCTATTTTAACAAAGATTTTGACCTAGAATGTATAAATTACTGCAGTAGAACAGTTGTGATGTTAGATTAGCTTCAAATCTAGATGACATTTTAGATAATACTTAAATTATTTACAATTTCAGATGTGAGAATGCTGTGTTTTATAGGTGGCAGGGTTATTTCGAGATGCCAGCATTGGAAATGCCATCAACATCGTTGTCGTGCGTCTCATTCTGCTGGAAAAGGACGAGGTAAGTGAAATGACAAAGCAGTCATGCAAACCCTTGCTCTAAAAATACATGGCAGACATTATGAGTCAACATCGTTGCTGCAAAACAGACCAGGTGCACTATGACCACATACGCACTGCAATGTTTTGGAGGTGACGGCTGCATTTAAATGTGGGAATGAATCACCTAATTCAGGGGTCTGCAACCGTTTTTGATTTATGTTGGTGATCACTGTTCCTTAATTTTTACTTTGGTGGCTTAATCTGAGGAATATTCCCCATATGTGTCACCACATGGGGTTCTGAAGAGAAAAAAAAAAATACTGTCAAAAAAGCATATTTTAAACTTGGTACACTCTATAATGGTATAACAGCTGTCACTGGGGCGGTACCTTTTCAAAAGGTACATATTTGTACCTAAAGGGTACATTTTGGTACCTTAAAGGTACATATTAGTGCCTAATAGGTACAAAAGTGTACCTTTTGAAAAGGTACCGCCCCAGTGACCGCTGTTGTACCTTTATTTCTGAGAGTGTTTACTGGTGGTAAATTAAGTTGCAGCTGGTAGAAAACAACTCACAGAAGATGCAGTCTTTATTAAGTGTATTTGATTTGAATCATGCACATCACATTATCATTTTTACAATGTGGCTGAAATTTCAACTTAAATGTAATGATTTGTTTACTGGAATTTTGACTTGCATTTGCTGCTTGGTGAGTTAGGGCTTGGTGATAAATAATACATAAAATTAAATCAAATTCTAATAATTTTACCAAAAAAAATTATTATTATTATTATTATTACTATTAAAGCAGCAATACTGTGCAGTTAAATCATATTACTCACTCTCTCATGCCAGTATCTAACCCATTTACATACATGTCTTAGGTTTCTCATGAAATTTGTTTATTGGCATAGTGATAACCATAGCAATTGTTTGGATTTATGGCTGCAAACAATAAGCATGGATAAGAACAGTTTATATCATTAGGTGTTAGTTTCTTATGCCTGAAGTAATTTTAATATTAACCACTGGACAACACTGGTGAGAACACTGAACCACTGGTGAGAGCAACTCAGTAAAGAAATACAGACTTGGAAAAACTGTTGTAGGGATTTCTTAATACCACAAACCACAGGACTGTGATATGCCACTGAATCAACTCATCATGAGGCTCTGGATTAATCTAATCAAGAGATGCCACAGAGATCTTTTGTATGAGGACTGAAAATACCGCGTGATGCCTCGTGATCCAATGAATAGAAACCAGTGTAGACACAGGAAGTAAATTAACGAGTGCCCTCAGGCCTGTGAGCACGGGACCGCTGCATGACTAGCACATGACGTTTGACCACCTGCTTCCTGCCCTGTCTGAAACCCTTACAAAACTTCTCTTACAAAAAAAGAAACAGAACCTTGCATGACGATTTTAACAGACAAACGTTTAAAACTCATAAGTAGTGAAAATGTATCCACTGTATGTGTTATGCTATATATATATATATTTGATGTGTTTATTGGAATCTATGATATTTTAATATTTGTCTTATAACTCTTTTTTAGCAGACAAAGCATTTAATGTGTTTAAGATATGTGAAGTTTAGTATCGGGCGAGAGCTTGTGTTATTCACAGAACATTGGTGTAAGTGAAAAATTGATATTCGGCATCATTTTCCGGTGATGATATTTTTATAAGAAGTTCTTAAAAAACTTGCAGAAATACTCGCCACAAACAGCGTGTGATTCATGCATGATAAGGAACAGTATGGGGCGTGGCTAAACCCCGCAGCCACCATCTGATTGGACCACGACCTGTGGGCTGGACCAAAGGTCAGCCTGCTTAAAACGGACACAACGCGCTTGCTCGCTCTCTCACTAAAAAGAACTTTGGCTTTCACCTTGGTGAGCACGACAAAGCGCTCCCACGCCGTACCATCGCATCGCGAGACTCCAGAACGCAAACACTTCGGTTGAAGCTTCGCAACTCGGCAGAACGCAAAGTCTTGCAAACTCAGACTTTAAGCAGGACTGCTCAAGCCTCTTCCGTAACCCGGCAACCAACCAACCCAACGAGGGCTTCCCCAAAGAACGTCATCCAAACGTCATTCCGGCGTCAAAGCAACAGCCAATCAGCGAAGGAATTTCCCTCCAGCAGCCATCCAGTAGCCACGAGGAACGACTCAGCTTTTCAGCTGTCAACCAAGCAAAAGGCAAGTACAAACAAAATCTTCGATCTGCTGAACTGACGCTGGTGAATTTAGTTAAGCAGTAAAGATAAGAAAATATCTGCTTTGTGAATTCTCTCAGGTAAATTTAAAACCACTCGTGAAACGAGTTAGAACTTTGAAAGCTTCATAGAACTCCGTCAACTCTCATTTCCTTCCTCTGAAACTGTATGTTGTGTGTATGTGTGTTTTAGTCTAGTTTTGATGTAATCTAGAGTAGCCAATAAAATTCATGTTTCATTTATAAAGAAGTATTGTTGGTGTCATATAATTTTAATGTTAAAACCTTTGCCAAAAAGATCCTTGCTTGCTACCTAGCTCGTAGCTTACTTATAATAATTACTATAATAGCTTACTTATAAAATTGTATTGACCGTGGCCAGGAAAATACATATTAAATTTGTTAAAATATACTGAGGTCACGGCTCGCTGGACGACCCTTGATTTAAAGTGTAAAAGAACAAATTTGGAATCAGTTCTAATCAGGTTGAATCAGGCTCTTCAGATCCTAGTCCTCTCAAAACCTGAATGAAATAATAATAATTAATTCCCTTATACAATGAGTAAAAATCATTACATCTGGTGGAGAATGCGGGCAAAGATTCGACCGAGAAATTAATGACCCAAGATATTAATATTATGAATCTTGTCTATTTTTATCCGGAAAAATAGATTAAAAGACAGAAAACTGAGTTTTGTTGTGTTACTGGATATGTTATTATATAGCACGGCAGAGCGTGTTTGTTTGAATGTGAAACTCGAGTGT